CACACGAACACACACACACACACACACACACACACAGATGCACACGCACACCTACACAAAACACACAACACAGGTCTTGTAAATCTGCCTACCAGGTTCATGTTAAGCTAGGTAACAGAGAGAAGACACCATAGCTGTGTCTATCGACCCGGGCCAGGAATACTTTTTACTCTGTTCAAAGGTGTCATAAGCTCAGAGGGGAAGTTGGTGGGACGCATAGCAAGAATCCTACCCGGCACACACTCCCGTGCAAGCTTAAATCTGGGTATGGTCGACAATGTGGGCCAGGTTAGTGCTAACGTGTCGAGCATAAAAGGCAATATAATTAACTTTATCTGTGGTTTAATTTAGTCGCTCCCATGTGTTAGTCCGCATGCTTGTGGTTAACAATGAGGGCCAGGTCCATGCTACAAGCAATCTAGCAGAAAAGGCAACATAACTGCAAAATATACCAACAGGTTGGCCAATGCACGAAGATACGACTACCAGCTAACCTTGCACACAACACACCGTCATCATGGACGAACACAAGCTAGCTTTCCAGTTCAATACAGACATAAATGAGGGTGGGTTGAGTTCACAGAAAGTTGCTAGTGAGGACGACCAGAGGGGTACAATTCTTCACTCAGACACATAGACACAGATACTCTGAATATAGTCAGATTTAAATCTACATTTTTACAGTCAGAACTCAGAAGACTTAGAACGCCTATTTCCTCAAAAATTCAAAATTGAGATTTTCTTTTTGTTTTGTTTTGTTTTTTGGTAGGGGCGATGCTAGTCTTCTCTGTATCGTTCCAATTTTAATGAATGTCCCGAAGGACAAAATTTAAAGAAATTGAGATTTTTTATTTCTTAGGCTTTTAGGCTTTAGCATAATTTTTACCGTTTTCAATATCATTTCTCTCTTTTTTTTTTGGGGCTCACAAAATTGCGCTGTTTTTTTTTTCTTCACCACATGAAATAATCCCCTTTCATACATTTTCCCCCCCCTTTGAAATCATTCATTCCATCCTCCTGGTAAGATGTTACACGCATAACACCACACCTAAACGCAAAGAATGATAAGTGTCTGAATTCCCAAAAAAAACAAAAAACAAAAAAAAAAGGTCGCCTGAGAAGAAGAGGCGCACACAAGCCATGAAAACATCATCAATGGGAACTGAAGCGCAATTTCCAGACGAAAGAGAAAAAAAAATGATAAATTAAAACGTCTCAAAATTTCAAATCTAACAAACCGGGGGTTTCGGACGCTACTGGTACTAGATTCGTCGAAAAACAGACCTGAGTTCAAGCACCGATGGAATCAGACGAGTTAAAAAATGCCTTTTTTTTTTTCGTTTTTTTTTTTTAAGTTAAAAGATACTACTGAATATACCGCGGAAAACGTCTATACACCCCGTCCCCCCCCC